ACAGTATGTGTATTAGCCAGTTTGACACAGCAGTTATATAAAATCGGCAATGATCGCAATTTTCCCCGACGGGAATCGATATCTCGCACACCACGGCAAAATTCCGATCGCCTGACTTCCGGCGGTGAGGCGAATGCGACAACTTCGTCACCTCGAGCTAAAATCCGCTATTTCGGCAACGGCCGACACCCGCTAACGAGAGAGAGAGAGATGTTCCGCTCTCTGGATTCCGCGGAAAAACTACCGGACGGCTTCGGTAAACGAGAATGTTACACCAAATTCAAGTCACGGATATCCGACAGCCACCGACAGGTCCAGCCACGTAGCGGGTCACGAATACAAAAGGGGCAATCACACAAAGGTACCCTTACAGTTCCGAACGCCTTCGGTAGCCTCCTTCGTCGCCGTCGCGCTCCTAGGCTCGTTCGCTCCGCTCTCTCTCTCCTCTTTGCTTCCTTCGCTCTCTCGTTCCGGCCGCGACGCTTCTGCTCTCTCCCGCTATCTCTTTTTCTCTCCAAAAATCCGCTCGGGCACTATCCACTGCACTCGACAAGGCACTACGCCGTACGGGATACTTGCGGTACACCCACGACACTAAAGGTACGATAGCTCAGGAGTACACGCTTGATATCTCTTTTTCGGTAACAGTAATCGCTCGTTCGCTCTCGCTTCGCGTCTCCGCAAGAAGTGTCTTTGTTGCGAGCGAGCCCTGGAGACGTTAGCCCAGGTCCACTCTTTGCTCCATTTTTTTCTTTCCTGCCTTGTCCTCTTTCCTCAATCACGCGGTGTCCGTGTGTCGTTCTCGATTTTCCTTTCTCTCTCCGAGCATCTTCCGCGTGATCTAGGCTCCTTGTTGTGTCGTTTCTTTGTTTGTTTTTCTTTGCTGTCGACAACACACAAATAAATCGGCAGCAGCACAATGCTAACGGCATAATTTCTTGCAAACAAAAATTATTCTCGGAACAAGGATATCACCTGAAGCGTCCTGGCGGCTCTTCGGTTCTTCCCCTCCTTCCTCCTGGGCCCGATCACCGCCGCTCGCTGTGCTTCCGGATCGGAGGCTACTCGCGGCAACAAAGACATACAATTTCTCGGGGCGCGGGGGTATCCCCAAAACAGCAATCTCGCACTCCCATGCACGAGATCGTTCGCCGAAACGAAAAGAATTCCCGATAATTGAACTAATAGAACGCAGCTCGCCTCGCAGTCGCGGGCGAGTGCGACGTTCTCTTGACCCTCCCGAAGACCCTTTGCCTCTTGTGACAAGCGCGAGCGATCCAAAATCGTCCCGTCATATCTTATATTAAAATTGCATATAAAGTATATTTTTCATTACACATTTAGAGGAAATACATGAAAACGTGTTTCCCATTTAACAATATATTCTTAAACTAAATCGACTATTTTATATTTAAATAGAGAAAAATAGTTTTAAATCGAATATTATGAAGATAAATACATGAAATGAAAAGATTTTAAACTTGAGAACGAGTTTTAATTTTAAGATTTCTTAAAACCTTAGAATACACATATTTTTATAAATTAAAGCGATTTGTTCATATATATATCTAAATTCAACACAAAATATATTTTTGAATGAAATATATGTATGAAATAAATACATGTGAAAAGTATGCTTGAAAATAAAAAATAAACACTGCCATCAACAAAACATAAAACATTTTAACAAATGTTGCAGATGCGTTCTTTTCAAAATAGAAAACATTAAAAAACAAAGTAGAAAATGACAAAAAATTATAAAATCGTAATTCAAAGTTTATCATATTCAAAAAATCCTTTCAATAATTCGAGAAATACAATATTAACCACTGCTTTCAATATTTCGAAAAAAGTGCTTTTTACACGTTTCATCGCTTATTTTTAAAACTGAGATAATTCGACCAATATTTGGTTGCGTTCTCTTTGTATTTCTATCATTTTATCTAATGATGCGTGTAATATTTTTAGATTCTTCCAGTCGTTCTTTTTCCATTTTTAATGCATTTTTCCGATATCTGTAATTTAATTTGCGATTTATGTTTTTTTTCGTGGTTCCACTAGCTGTACTTAAAATATTCTCCGTGTCCTTCCTGAATAAATTAAGATCATCTAAATCTATGTAAGAAGTATCTGAATAACTGGGAAACTGAGGACTTAAATTTAAAGGCGGTAAATTTTATATTTCTAGATTTACGAGGGTAGTCCCAGAAGTACACGACCTAACAAAGAAAACAAAAAATTTGGGAAAAATATCTTTATTTATCTACATAGTCTCCTTTTAGCTTAATACACTTTTCCCAGCGATGTTCAATAGCTTCGATACCCTGTTTATAACGGGAATCGTCGAGCTCCTCAAAATAGCCATCAACCGCAAACTCCACCTCTTCATTGTTGGCAAATCTTTTACCACAGAGTCATTTGTTCAAGTTTGGAAACAGAAAATAATCCGAGGGGGCTAAATCTGGCGAATATGGTGCGTGAAGAAGCAATTCGAACTTTAACTGATTGATTTTGGCCATCGCGATAACGGATGTGTGAACTGGCGCATTGTCTTGATGAAACAAAACTTTCTTTTTCGCCAAATATGGCCGTTTTTTCTTGATTTCATCACTCAAACGCTGCAATAAGTTCGCATAATACTCGCCGTTGATTGTTTTTCCTTTCTGAAGATAATCAATGAAAATTATCCCACGTGCATCCCAAAAAACTGACGCCATGACCTTGCAGATGGAACTGTGTTCGCCTCCTTTGGAGCCGATTCTCCCCTTTCAGTCCATTGTTTTGACTGTTTCTTCGTCTCAGGTGTGAAGTGATGGACCCAGATTTCATCCATGGTTATGAATCAACGCAAAAACTCGGCTTTATTGCTGCGAAACTTCGCCAAACACTCGATTGAAATATCCTCACGACGCTGTTTTTGTTCCAATCGCGGCACCCATCTTGCGCACAGCTTTCTCATGTCCAAAATTTTCAGTCAATATGCGATGTACAGCACTTTTTGAAATGCCTACCATGTCTGCTAACTCGCGCACTTTCAGTCGATGGTCATCCAATACCATTCTGTGGATTTTGTGGTTCATCATTTCTGGCGTGGTCACTTCATTTGGTCGACCACTGCGATGTTCGTCTTGGCAGCTCGTACGGCCTCGTTTAAACTCTGCTACCCAATATTTTACTGTTGTAAATGAAGGAGCAGACTCCCCCAGAGTAGAATCTAGCTCCGCTTTGATATTGGTTGGACTGAGGCCTTTCAAATGAAAGTATTGTATCACATAACGATGACCAATTTTTTCCATGTTTACAAATTCACTGAGAGCGTTCACTACTGATGGCTGCCAAACAAATACTAAACAACGTAGCGTCACAGTATAAGAAAGCAGTAGTTTCACTCGGTGTCGGCATTTTTGATCTCATGACTAAAAGATCGCCATGTTGCTGGTTGTGCGCGGGCTCTAATTTGAAAGGCACAAATATAAAAAAAAGGATATGTCTAATAACAATATTATAAAAACACTAAGAAAGAATTGTACTAAATATTTTAAAAGAAAATAAGACTCTAGAGTAATAATTCACTTGATGGGAAGGAAGTTTGAGCCATCGTAGTTATATGGTACATAAATTATTGTATATATTTACAAATAATTAATACCTTTGCGTTTATTTTGTTGTACATATGTATTAATTTACTTTTAATTAAAATACAATTTTATCAAAATCACTGTATAAGAATACAATTATTATATACAATAATTATCTAATTAAAATCCTAGTATATCGTATGTATGTATATAAATGTTCATGACCTATACAACTTGTGTGTGTGTGTGTGTGTGTGTGTGTGTGTGTAGGCGTGTATAATTATAAAAGACGTTAGAAAAACATAATCTGATAAATATAACATTTACAAATATGTATCCATCCTTGATCCATCAGTCATAATCTAGATACTGTCCAATTCTTCTTTTTTCTTTCTTAATTTGAGTTTATTGATGTATACCTAAAAATATTTAGGAATATTAATTAATGTAACGAATAAATAATAAATTATACTAAATTAAAGACTAAACTAAGACTAAATGCGAAACAAATAAACGTGGGTTTTAATAAATCATATTCCCGTTGAAAAAATTTAATAATAAATAATTATATGTCATAAATTTAAAAGTTCTGTACATTGCTTTTTAAATTGTGATAAATTGTTCACCAGGGATTTCAGTAGAGGTTACTTTCATTAAAAGTTACACCAGGAATTTCTTGTGTTAGTAAGTTTTATTTATTTGAAGATATATTATGTATTTATTATAAAAATAGTATTAATTATATATTTATGGCTATAATTTGAAATAAACAACAAATTAGCACATTGTTCAAGTTTTACTAAAATTATATTATGTCAAATATATTAAAACAAAAGATTATAAAAATAACTTATATATATCATGACATATATAACATGACATATAAAATATCACATGACAAAAATATATAAAGAATATAAAAACACAATATCATCCAAGAACGTCAAAAGAATATACAGGGTGTTTGATAGCTGATCATGCAGACGAAAGTTGGAGATAGATTGGGTGTAGCCGAGAAGAAAAGTCATGTACAATAATGTCAAATTGGCAATAGTTACCGACTTATTAATTAAAATGTGTGAGCCAACGAGCGCGTAGAGAACGGAGGGCGACCGCAGTAAGCACGTAGACATTTGATACAGGCGGAGTCAGCGAGTGTCGATAGGCGAGCGCGCGCGGCGAAGGGCAACGTAAGCGACAAGAGGCGAGCGCGTGTGACGAGGAGCGAGCGAGCGCAAACGATGAGGAGCGAGCGAGCGCAAGCGACAAGAGGCGAGCGAGCGCGACGAAGAGCGAGCGAGCGCGAACGACGAGGAGCGAGCGAGCTATAAAGAAAAAGCTCGCTCGCTCCATATTTCTGCATCATTGTTAACACATAATTGTAATTCTCCTAATTCCAGCGTGGAGTCATCGCCTTCTTTATTATTTGGGTGTCTTGGATCTTGTTGTAATTCTCTGTGTAATAAACCTACAGGCATCATTAGATTATGTGATTATATGTGACAATATTACAAAATATCTATTATTGTAATAGGTTTATATTTTATCTTAAAATACACGAATAAAAAGAGATTTACTAACCCCTTTGAAGAATTCATTTCCAGGTGGATAGAACCAGGTGGCGATTCTTTAATTTCTGTGAGGAGATTTAATTCATTTAATACTTCTGCTTCTGCATCTGTATCAACATCTTCCGCTAGAAGGGGGATAGATGCCTGAAAAATAAGAAATTATGTTAACAAATAGCGTGAACAATATCATTAAAACGCAAGATGATAGTAAGCGTTACTTTATTTGGTTTGGTATCTGTATTTGCATCATAAATTTCATCGTCTCCATCTCCTTCTTCCTCTTCCATGTCCATGTCTGTATGTCCCAAAAATTCAAAATTCGCTATAACAGCTGCTTCTGTATCTAATATCATTGCTTCTGCTATAGAAGATGGCTGTTGCTGGAATAATAAATCATATATAAATGTATAACAGAATCGTAACTATCGTAATGCAGCTTAATTCTCTTAATTAAGTTCGTATTTTACCTTTTTCGGATGTCCTTCGGAGTATAAGACTTACATTGGATGATTCTTGTCTGTTCTGTGTTCCCTCATTTCCATTTAATACTGGAGTATTCATTTCATCTGAGTCTGTATTATTATAATATGTCCCACCGTGTATATTTCATTTCTCGCCTTTCGTCGTGAGTCACTGCGCAGATGTGCTCCACAGGCGGAGCAGTGACTCTCATTCTTCTCGAGTCGGGATGCGTTCCGAAAGTTGCAAAAAAACGGTCACAATCCTTTATGCTCGCGACCGTACGTCCATCGGATGTCCTATATCCAAAGATATGATAAACGTACGTACGTCCTATGGACGTCTTTTATAAAAAAAAATGGACATATAACGGACGTCCAATGGACATCCGTGTGCTGTCTAGGTATTATGTATCGTTAAATTATAAATGTAAAATACTTCATAATATTAAATAAAAATGACATAAGTGAAAGTATAAAGTGCGTATAACAAAATAAATGAGACGAGTGAGAACATAAATTCAATAAGGTAAAAAACATAATAAATAAATAAATATATATATATTATATATATATGTGTGTGTACATGCATATATATGTATATGTGTTTATGCTTTCACTTATGTCATTTTTATTTAATATTATAAAGTATTTTACATTTATAATTTCACGATACATAATATTTGTGACATACGTGCGTACTCTGTCAAAAAGTTTGCGCAAACTAACAGCTTACCACTTAAACAATATTACCAGAGAGAAGAAGGAGAGGTGTCACGGGCCGCTTTTAGCCGTGCCTAAAATCCCTAGATTTATAAAGTACCACAATCTTCCGCCATTTTGGCTCCAACAACGCGGCACATTCAAAACGCACAGATATGGTATTTTGTAAATAAAATAGGAAAATTGTTCATGATATTAAATAATGTTTTTATTGATATTTTTGGTCTTGTTAATATAAGATTTTCTTTTCTTTTTTGTTAACGCAGGGGAAATCCATCATGGATACCCCCGAGCTTTGGGGGGGTCGGAGGTTATGTCGAACTTTTACCGACTAAAACCTCTGCGGGATGTCTACCAACTGGACCGTGATGAGGGGAGTTAGGGGAACTGCTTCCGCATTCCCTCCCCAACACCCCGGCCCCAGGGCTCTCCGGGAGCCCCATGCCTCGAGTACCGCGCCCTGTCTCACAGAGGGAGTCCAGGGCGCGGTCCCCCGACCGGTTCCCCGGCCGGGTTGGGCTTCTGATTTCAACTTAGAGGGAGGGAATATCCACCCTCCTTCCACGCCCCCTTTTTTCCCCTCAGGAGGGGGGCGGGGAAGTGGAGCCAGTCCCAACTGGGCATCCACTCCCCCTTCACCTACCTACTTACCGACGCGCGGGGAAGGCGGGTGGACGGGCTTACTCACCCATCGTCCCCTCCCCCGCACGTCCGAAGTCGGGCCCGTGGCGGCCGAGGGGGCGGCCTCCGGTTAACCGGTAGCCGCTCCTCCTCGGCCGACGCTACCTCTGGCCCGCTGCCGATTCCCCCCCCCCCCGGGGAGCGCCGCCTACCGCGGCGCCTTCCGGGTCGACGCTCCCACTCGGCGACCTCCTTTCTGGACATCACGTCCTTACAGAAAGAGGCCGCCGCTGACCATACTTCCTCGCTCCCGCACATGGCTTTTACCAAGTGCAGGAGCGAGAGTCCCCCCGCTCAGCACCCCACCGCCCTGGTGAGGACACGGCGCTCCTGACTTCATGCCGAGCATGCAGCCAGTGTATGGTGCGCCGTGTCCTCCAGCACAGGGCAGTGGTGGCAACGGGTGGTGGACTCCTTCCTGATCCGGTGCAGGTACCTTCCGAAGCACCCATGCCCAGTCAATACCTGCACCAGATGGATGTTAATATAAGATCATCGCAAAGCTTCTACTATTATATACAGTTTGGTGCTGAACAGTCAAATTGTCCTTTTTCAGCGAGAAATAGATATGTGCTATCACAAATGTTTTTAGTAGTTTAAAAACAATGTTATGGCATTGTGGTACAAAATCGGTAAAACACGTTTCTAAAAATAAATTTACAAAGTTTATTGGTTGTAATTTGTTGGACAATAGGTTTGCTTCGTTTTTTCTATATAATAATTCGCATTTATGTATAATATATATTTTGCTGCTTGGAAAAGTTAATATATTTTCCTTATATTGCCGCAATTGAGTAAAAATGCTTAAATTATTATTTGAATCGCTCTTGCAATCCATTACTAAAGGATTATAACACAGTGCTGTCAGGTGCAATATATTGCGACGCTACAACGCATGCGTGAGATGACGTAGCTCTATGCCAATGACGGCAATAAAGCGCATCGCAGGGTCCATAAAGGGGCCCGCGCTATCCGATCAGCTGTCTTCCAGGTTCCAGTGTAATTTTCCCGTGCTTCTTGCACGAGTACCTTATTTTAGATTATATTGTTCAGTGGATACTAAATATCAGTTATATTAACATTATAATTCCAGTGGATACTAAGTAACAATTACGTTACATTAACATTATAATTTTTCACTCAATTATGTAACTGTTACATAATATTTGTATTAGACTCATATTAGACTATAGATTGAGAATTACTATCAGATCAATTAGAATAACCACGATTTAGATTATCTAATTTACTAAATACTCGATTGCAATTCTCAATGCATAGTATAATGGGCGCTATAATACCTTAAAAAAGATACGATACTGAAACTTTCACTCAAACAGGGAGCTCCTACGTTAGCTCACGCATGCGCTGTATATCGCAATATACTGTAGCGTCGCAATATATCGCACCTGACAGCACTGTTATAACAATGATCACAATGTTTGAAGTATTTTTTAATCTTTGATAATAACGCCCCTGTTAAATAATACAATGATGTTTGCGTTATATCACTTAACTCGGTCTCATTTCCAAGTAATTCTAACATTGTCTCATCCCATAAATCATTTTCAATAGCTTGCTCGCATTGCACTTCTTTAGAAGTATTTTTTAAGTCTTAATTTTTTATTTCGTCACAATATTGAATGAGATAATCACAGTCAACAGTCGAGTAATTAGAACGATTAACATTACTTTGGAATTGCGATAAACTAACAAGTCTTAAAACGTATTTAAATTCGCGCGCATCTGGTACTGATTTTCTTCCTCGGATAACGGAAAATAGATTTTCTAAAGCATCTTGTGTAAATCTACCTAATAGCAAAAATTTTAAATTTTGTTTTTCTAGATATTCTATTTGCAAATCTAATGCGGTTGTGTGCAAAGTATTAAGCCACTTTGAAATGGTTTCCATTTTCTATCTCCAACTACAATTCCTTTAACAATAACTATAAAATCTTGTAGGAATGTGATAGTATCTCTGTAAATTTTTTCATTATGACGGGACAATGCGAGGTTCTGATACCTGCTGGTCATAAGTTTGAACCATTTGTGTATAGTTTTGATAAACTAGGCGGTAGTTTTATGAATTTTAGCAATACGCTCGTTGGCTACATGATATGATATAACGGCAGCAATTGTATTATTTAATATTTGCATACTTAAATTAACATTCATTTTCTCAAAATGTGATGGATTAATAGCGCGTTCTGTCAGACATGGATACAGTCGTAATGTATCGTTTTCGTCTAAGTGAAATACTTCGCGAATGGGTGCAATCGATATTTCATTGTGCGGCAAATCATATTTTCTAACAAACGTTTCGTCCAAATAAAATTTGTTACCCGCTGTTAACGAACACGCGACGTTTTTGAACACATGAACTGAATCGGGCATAACGAATAATTTCTCATCATTATCGCATGGGTGTGGAATATAATTATTGATTTTACAATATTTGTCAACCGTAATATTCATGATTTTCCACCAACTCCTATTCTGAGCTCCCATATCAGAAATGATTACTTTTATTTTTAGTCCGATATCATTCGCTTTTTTAATTATCGCTAACATTATTTGAATAATCTGTTGTGAGCAAAACAAATTAGTTGTAAATTCGTACCCTATTGTCTGCTTCCATTTAGTAGAAATGCCGCACAACATAAATACAAGGGCATGCGTTGCTTTTTGATGAGAACTGTCAAATCCACCCGAAAGTTTCATAGTGGGTCGACCAACTACTGCAACAATGGAATTGTCATATTGTAAGCCAGGCTTTATAGACATTTCGTCTATGATCAATACAGCATGTTTCTCTGCATCAGCAAATGTTTGTACCTGAAATAAAATAACACCATGAGCAAATAATCACGGTTACATTTAAATATTGTTAATAAATAGGAGTAGTATCACAGAATTTAAACTAATTAAGTACGTTTACTCATGTGAAATAACTAACTTTCATTTGTAACATACGGAAAATATCTTCCAATATTCCCGGTTTAAATTGTAAGCCTTGTATGCGATGTTGTAAGGTCCTAATACTCGGATAAGGTAAGTTCTGACGGCGTAATTCTTCATAACCTTTTTGTCCACAGGCCACATACAATTTTAAGGCATTATTAATAGTCTTGGCAGACTACAATGATCCTCTTTGCGTGTTATTTTCAATATAACGTGTTTGATCTTTTGTAAAGATTTCTTCTGGTTTTCTTTTCTCTCTTAGTTTACGTTTAAGCAGACTGCATTCTCGCATTTTCTTCCTCAATGCTATCTGTAAATGTTTTATGTGCTCTTTGTCCTCATTTGATGCTGTATGGAAAACTTTTATATGGTCCACTTCTGTATTGGCTACTTCGAGATAGTTTGTTGCAATGCTTGTTGTATGATTTTCTTCTATATTAGAAACTACAAAATACAAAATGATTTATATAATACATGCCTCGTTTTCCTATATGTATTATCCTAAAAAGAACTGAAAGTCAAAATGACATCAATTTGACAAAACTGATATCATATTGATATTATATTAAATTAAATTTGTCAATGTAATCATTTATGTCAAATGTCACAGTTGCATTTTGACTGTCTGTTTTTTGGGAATTGTATCATATATAATAAAACTTACTATAGTCTACATCCTGGACGTGCTCAGAATATTTAACTTTTTTCATTGTCTTCTCTGTGCCCTATTCCGTCTCCGTTGTACGTTTTTGTAATACATTCGGTATAGCATACGGGCGGAGTAGTTTTCGAGCGTCTTGACGTTTTTCGAATTGCTCGTTGCCGAAGTGTACCTACAAAATGTATATAATTATTATTCTAATATATGATATGTTACACACAATTATAACTCATTAACTATACCCCACAAATTACAGCTCTTGCTGGCAATGCCCACACAGCACTGCAATATTGCAGCAATATTGAAGCAATATTATAATATCGTAGCAATATTACAAAATCACAAGATTATTATGTAATATTCCAGCAATATTATCACAATATTACAGAGTGATATATCAGATTACAATATCACTGGAATATTACTGCAATGTTACAATGTGACTATCGTATGGCAACATAATGACAATATTACAACAATATTGCGAGATGATAAATCTCATTGCAATATCACAGGAATATTGCCGCTATATTCCAGCATGATAGACCGCTACGTAATATTTCTGAATACCGCAATAATACTTCAATGTGATATATCAATCTACAATATCGCAGGAATATTATAACAATGTTGCGGAGTGATATATCAGATTACAATATCACTGGAATATTACTGCAATGTTACAATGTGACTATCGTATGACAACATAGTGACAATATTACAACAATATTGCGCGATGATAAATCTCATTGCAATATCATAGGAATATTGCCGCTATATTCCAGCATGATAGACCACTACGTATTTCTGAGTATCGCAGTAATATTTCAATGTGATATATCAATCTACAATATCGCAGGAATATTATAACAATGTTGCGGAGTGATATATCAGAGAGATTGAATAAATCAGCATTATAAAATGAAAAAACGTTAGAAAAATCGATATAAGATGAAATTCGTGATTTCGGCTGCAATGTTGAGTCCGCCATATTGAAAAAAAATTTAGAAAAAAACTACCCACATATTTTTAAGATATAAATGTTAATAACGCGATCCTTGTAGTTTCCAGTATAAAATAACAATTTTTTTTAAGAAATCAATGATTTTCATAAAAGATAGACAAGAAAATACCGTTTTGTTTAGATCTAAATGGTCAAATTGTAAAAAGCTTACCCGAAAACTCTGAAAAAATTATTCCCGAAAAGAATTATTAGCGATTTCTTTAATATCTGTTAGCTCAAAGTTTATAGTTACGCTATTGACGGTTGCTGTACTCAGTTTCAGAATCCTTTACTGAATAAGACATAAAATTTTTTCGATTTGCGAAAAGTTCTTATTGAGAACTTCTATAAACATTATTCTTTATGTTATCATTATATTTATATTTCTATTATTGAAAATTGTCTTATATATATGTACGTTAATATTACATCTGTATTTTTATTATAAAAATGATAATGATAAGATACTGATTTTAATAAAAAATTTTTAGCAATTATGGTTCATAGCATCTTACAAATCCTTTAAAATTTATGATTCTGAAGCTATGATTACCGAAAATATTTTCGTTTTGACTTAACAGATGAGTGATATATCAGACAATATCACTGGAATATTACAATATCACTAGAATATTACAATATCACTGGAATATTACTGCAATGTTACAATGTGACTATCGTATGGCAACATAGTGGCAATATTACAACATTATTGCGCGATAATAAATCTCATTGCAATATCACAGGATTGCCGCTGTATTCCAGCATGACAGACCGCCATGTAATATTTCTGATTATCGCCGTAATACTGCAGTGTGAAACAATTTATATACAGGGTGTCCCATTTTAATGTCACATCACAAATATCTCAGAAACACTGCGTTAAATCAAAAAATGTTTCAGACAAAAGTTGTTTGGCTTGAAGGAGGACAAGAAAGCGATAGCATTTTGTTTATAAATGGCGCCATTTTTTAGATATTCACTGACAATCAATTTTCATAAATGGAAATCCGAATTTTTTGTTATATTTTCTTTTTCCATCAATTAATTTGAACAATTTTTGTCTGAAACATTTTATTTGGTTAATATTTTTTGAGATATTTAAGGGAAACTTGGTAACTTTTTCAACATTTAACTTACGATATCTCGCTAACTATTCGTCGAAAGAAAAAATAGTATTAGACTTTTTTACTTTACTTACTATCAAGAATATATTATTATAATAGTGCCCTAACTTTTGTTAACTTATCGACCTTTGGAAATTTCAAAATTATTAAATTAACAAAAGTTAGGGCTCTATCAATATATTCTTCATATTAAATAAAGTAAAAAAGTCTAATACTATTTTTTTTGTCAACGAATAGTTAGCGAGATATCGTAAGATAAATGTTGGAAAAGTTACCAAGTTTTCTTTAAATATCTCAAAAAATATTAAGTAAATCAGAAATGTTTCAGACAAAAGTTGTTCAAATTAATTGGTAGAAAAAGAAGATATAATAAAAAGTTAGGATTTTCATTTATAAAAATTGATGGTCAGTGAATATCTTGAAAGTGGCACCATCTATTAACAAAATGCTATCGCTGTCTTATGTTCCCCTTCAAGTCAAACAACTTTTGTCTGAAACATTTTTTTATTTAACGCAGTGTTTCTAAAGCGTGGTCTACAATGGCCGTAAGCAATAAGAAGAAAGCGTGAACAGTAAGAGATGGACCACAGTTGATTATTTTTGTCATAATCGACTGTGATTGGTTTATTTTTTACCGCTTACGCTTACTTCTTACTGCTTACTGCCATTGTAGACCGCGCTTGAGATATTTTTGCGAGATTTATGCCTAGGACATTAAGTATTTTTGCAATATTGCTGTGATATTTATGCAATATTTCAGTAATATTCCTGCAATATTGCAGCAACATTTAAGAAATATTGTAGCAACATTCCTGCACGATTGCAGTAATATTTCGGCAATATTTTGCAATTTTTCTGCAGTATTGTGGCTATATTTCATAGGTATTCCTGCAAGATTGTGGCGATATTTCAATAACATTGTGACAATAGTCCTCTGATATTGTGACAATATTTCTACAACATCATAACAATATTCCCGCAATATTTCTGCGAGACATATGCCTAGGACATTAAATATTTCTGCAATATTGTTGTCACATTTATGCAATATTTTAGTAATATTCCTGCAACATTTCTGTAATATTCCTGCAATATTGCGGTGCTATGTGGATGTGTCTTTGCCAATTAATCGCAACTATTCATTGTGTCTATCGTTATTCTTAGTACCTGTCGGTAAACGAAATAAGCGAAAACCTTTTTCACTACGATTTGTACATCCATCCACGCAACACCCTGGCATGTTTTTTAATGTTGCTCTTCAACAAACTCTTCACGTGTCAAACACAACTCAAGTTAAATAAATTGCACTTAATGTGTAGATACGTTATGCAAGTTGCACTATGCACACTTTTTAACGCCATTTTGGCTCCAAATTCTTATACATTGAGTCTTAAGCCCTAAACACAATGCCAGGCAACAGGCAATAAGAATAAAAATAGACCAATCACAATCGACTATTACAAGAATAATCTATTGTGATTGATCTATTTTAATTCTTATTGCCTGTTGCCTGGCATTGTGCAAGGGGATTTATGGATTGCAATACTTTATAAATCCAGGGACTTTAGCCGAGCTTAGAGTCCCTAGAAATCAGAGTCTGGACACAGTCGTCTAGTGGGACAAAACATGGCGTCGTAGAGAAATACCAATTAGTCCGATATAAATCCGTAAATTGTTATAAAGAAATTAGGAGCAAATACAAAAGGTAAGTTATAATGTAACGCTATAAAAGATAAAGTAAATATATGTGTATAGTAAATAAACATATATACTACATGGGCTGAAAAGTCTTTGGCTTAACAATGAAAAAACGATTTTTTTAATGAAAAAAGTGTTTTATTCCTCGACATAATCTCCATTTAGAGTAATGCACTTAGTGTAACGGTCCGCTAACATTTCGATGCCGGTCTTATAGTGCTTGGTGTCAAGTCCCTCAAAATAGGCATTTGTTTCCAACTTGACCTCCTCATTCGAGTAAAATCTTGTACCAGCGAGCCACTGCTTCAGTCAGGGAAAAAGGAAATAGTCGCTGGGGGCCAGGTCTGGAGAATACGGGGGATGCGGGACCAATTCATAGCGCAATTTCTTTAATTTATCGGTCGTGCCGAGTGAGCTGGAGCATTGTCTTGGTGAAACAAAATTTTTTTCTTTGCCAAATGTGGCCGTTTGACCTTGACCTCGTCGTCCAATCGATCCAGTAATGTACAGTAATATTCTTTATTGATAGTTTTACCATGTTCAAGATAATCAATGAATATTATGTTATGCGCATCCCAAAAAATATTGGCCAAAACCTTGCCGGCTGATTGTTGTGTCTTCGGGCGCTTCGGACGGCTTTCACCAGGCAATAACCACTCCGCTGACTGCCGATTGGACTCCGGTGTGTAGTGATGAATCTATGTTTCATCCATTGTGACAAATCGACGCAAAAACTCCTTCTTATTGCGGTTAAACAGGGCCAGATTTTGCTTTGAAAGTCGAACACGTTTCGCTTTTTGCTCAATTGTCAAAAAACGCGGCACCCAACGCGCGCAAAGCTTTTTCATGTGTAAATATTCATGAATGATATGACCAACGTTCCTTTGAGATGCCTATGATGTTAGCTAGCTCACTCAATTTCATTTTGCGGTCATTCAACACGATTTCACTGATTTTCTGGATGTTTTCTGGAGTAACTGCCTCATTTGGCCTTCCTGAACATGGTGCATCATTTGTGCTCGTACGGTTACGACGAAACTCAGCAAACCAATATTTGATGGTTGAATTCGGTGGGGCAGATGTGCCGTAACATTTATCAAGCCATGCCTTTGCTTCAACAGTGTTTTTTCCCATCAGGAAGCAATGTTTAATCAAAACACGAAATTCACTTTTTTCCATAGTAAAGATAAATTCAGAGGTAACGTCACTTCGAAAGCTATAACTTGTACACGAGTCAACGAAATATCATGAAATTTTTACAGCATCTAAGTTAAGGTTGGTACTTTATAGGAAATATAAGGATTTTTAGGATTTTTGTGCCCTCTTGCTCTCTCGCCGATGCAAGTGGAGGGTAAGTTCCTAAATTAACCTAGGCGTGTTCTTCTTCTTTGGTCCCTTTATTGCGCACGTGCCTGCCAGCTGCAGAGCATGTGAATCACAGGTACAACTTATGCGCCTCGAAGATACAAAGACAGTTCTCTGCGCTCGCACGACATATGAGTCACAGCGGGACTCGTATGTATATGTGTGTGGGCTGAACGGAGCCGATGCTCCTGCCTGCCCGCTCTCGCACAATCGCGACAGCGTGCAGAAATCGCGGTGTCACACACGACAAAAGACAAATACTCAAGCTATGACTAGCGATCGTATTATCCGTTAACTCTGTGAGCGCTTCCAACGGTTACTGATTCGTTGCTCTTTTTTCCCCGCACGAGTGATACTTGCGCGCGCTCTATAGCGCCGCACGGAAAACGGATGCGTGCGCTTTGGGGAGCTCAAAGTCCCCACAGATTTTTAGGATTTTTGTGCCCTCTTGCTCTCTCGCCGATGCAAGTGGAGGGTAGGTTCCTAAATTAACCTAGGCGTGTTCTTCTTTGGTCCCTTTATTGCGCACGTGCCTGCCAGCTGCAGAGCACGTGAATCACAGGTACAACTTATGCGTCTTGACAATACAAAAAAATAGTTCTCTGCGCTCGCACGACACATGAGCCACAGCGGGACTCGTATGTATATGTGTGTGGGCCGAACGGAGCCGATGCTCCTGCCTGCCCGCTCTCGCACAATCGCGACCGTGTGCAGAAATCGCGGTGTCACACACGACAAAGAAACAAATACTCAGGCTATGACTAGCGATCGTATTATACGTTGACTCTGTGAGCGCTTCCAACGGTTACTGACTCGTTGGTCTTTTTCCCCGCACGAGTGACACTTGCGCGCGCTCTATAGCGCCGCACGGAAAACGGATGCGTGCGCTTTTGGGGAGCTCAAAGTCCCCACAGATTTTTAGTTTGTGGCGCCATCTATATGTCAGGCCAAAGACTTTTCAGCCCATGTAGTATCTGTGTGTGCATTCTCTCATAAATATTATTTCCTAACCCTTAATGTCATTAATGTTTAATACCAGTTACATAAATTTTGTAGAAAATGACGTGTTGTTGTGTGCCAAATTGTTCGAACCGAACAGAAAAAGGGTACTCAATGAGGAGCTTCCCAATAAATAGTGAACAGAGGACAGCATGGATTGATAATATCAATATCCATAGCGATAAAAAATTGTCAAAGCACATAAAACATAATTTATTCGTATGCGAAGTAAGTTAACATAGCATGATTAAATATATAAATCTAACTTATATTACACTTATAAAAATATAAATATTATCTTGAATAATGTTTATAGGTCCATTTTGCAGCAGACATGTGGGAAAAAGTGCGAGTGGATGGTAAGAAAAAATTGAAAGCACATGCTGTTCCTATAATTTTTTCTTCTCCAAACAATGCAAATATTCCAGCTGCGGAAGAAAACACACATGTATGTATGGGTTTCAACTGTAGTTAAAAGTCTAATAGCATCAATGTAAGGGCGATTGTAAAACAGTTTCAATTTTCATAGATTCGTGAAAATAACGCAGCACAATCCACAAATAACCCTGTTGAGGCTCCTACATCATCATCAAAACGACCTGCCATAGACATGGATATAAACACGGGAAATGATGCAAAGAGGTTGCGGAGAAGTGTAACGGATGAGTCAATCACACTTGCAAGTGATGAGTCAATCACACTTGCAAGTGATGACACTGTGAAGATCCTGCAAAGAAAACTGAATGAAGCCAACAAAAAACTAGAGAAAGCAAATACCATCATCCGCAACAGTGAAACAACAAACAGAATTCTTCGGCAGCGTCTACAACAAATAAGAAATTCCACCAAGATGCACAGTGAACAAAACAATTCTTTGGAGTTTTTGAACAAAGTATTTCATAAAGATCAGATAGCCTATCTTAAAGCAAAATATAAAGGACGCCATATACGTCAGTGGACAGAAGAAACTGTCAAAAAAAGCATTCCAACTCAAACATGCATGTGGGGATAACGGGTATGAGGAATTATTACGCCACGATATTCCTTTGCCTTCAACCCGTACTCTACGCAGCCGTTTAGAATGCATTACTTTTAAAGATGGAATTCTTGATGAAGTGTTCGACTTATTAAAGGAGAAAGTGTTAACGTTTCCAGATGAACGATATAGAGTGCGACGCGATTTTCGCTCGCCGTCGGCAAACTGCCGTCGGTCCGCGCGTCTCGGCCAACCTAGCTCTCACGAAATAGGTTGGGCGCCAGGTGCAACGGGCTGCACCGTTCACCAACGCTACGCGACACCTCACCAAAGGGCCGAGACACGCGAAGGCGACGGGACCGGTAGCTCTTCGATATTTAAGTCGGTAGACGGGAAGGGTTCGTCGGAAGTCGGGAACGACCGGGAAAACACAAGAATGACGAGGCGCGTTTCGACTATCTTCAATTTTATTATTGCGGGGATCGGAACGGTCCGACCCCTCGGTACGATACACTCCGCTTTGCCCTCGCGAATTCGAGATTTTGCGCTACGCCGATAACTAGGACGAGACTCTTTACGGTCACGACACCGAAATGATAACGCAGGTGGAAGGTCTTACAAACTCGGGAACCTCCCGGCGACGTGGTCCTCCTCCTTTCTCCCCCTCACTCTCTCTCTCTGGCGCAGCGCTGTTACTGACGTTCCTTTCTAGAGCGGTGGCCACGTCCGGAGTCCTCCACTCGCGAACACTAGTCTTCACCAATCTCCTTGTTCTTTTATTTTTGCGGCAGTCGATAATTCTCCGATAATATTCGGAAGCAGGTCGGTGATATTAGAGAGCGCGACAATGGGAGTCTCCTCTTTTTATTTCCTTCTCCCGACAGGCTTTCTTGTCCGTTGGTGTTGTCTCGTGCTACCCGTCTTTCCCCGTTCCTCGGTAAATCTCCCTATACGGGAATCCTTCCGCGGATCTTTGTTTTTCGATCCGCGGGACGGGTGCTCGGTCTCACTCTCTTGCTCGTTCTCTCTCTCTCTTGCTCACGCTCGCCCGGTCTCCGTGTTTAGGCTGGCTTTGTCTAGTCGGCGTTCACGCGCCAAGCACGGGAACGCCGACCGTTCGGCGCGATATCCTTGCAGGCCTGTGGACAACGGAAGCGGCCGCGAGAACCTTTTACAACGATACGGAACCGATAATAGTAGTGCAACAAGATTGCGTTCACCTGGGGTGGCGGTCCAGCTGAGAGCGTTGTCCTATTCTCTCCTCCACCTGTCCCTTTGGTCCTGAGGGGCGGCGCGGGAGGTCCAGGGGCACAGAGCTCGGGGACGCGGGACCGTTCCACCTGCACGCTTCGCTTATTATTACACTAATTATTACGGGGGAGAGTGCAAGGCGACACCCCCCCCCCCCGAAAGTCTCGCCTAAGGGCCGAAAGGTCGGCCTGGGACGGGCGCCTTTCCGGCTGCCACGTCACAACTCCCCCCTCCCCGACGAAGACCTGTAAGGTCTTGTGCCCGCTGTCCACGCCGCTGACCATCCACCTGCTTCACCCTCGGTCTCTCGCGTGAGTCTTGATACGGCACGCGTGGGAGGAATTGCAAGCGACCGACAGGGCCCTCCCTGTCCTCCGCGGATTCGCACACAAAAAAAAACCAAAAAAAAAGGAACGGAAGGGGGTAGGAAAGGGAAATGGCGGCACGACTCTAGATCTCTTTTCCCTTTATTACACAAAAATACAAGACCCTTTTTCCGCAAAAAAAAAAAAAAAAACCCCGATACCCAAAAAAAAATTCCCCGGTACAGAGGGCTCTTTGCTCTCCTCGGGAGCGGTACGCGGGATCGGTAATCAGCGGCCGGGCGGCCCTCTAGCCGCTCCGCCGCCACTCCTCCCGGCAGCGTGGGCAGTCTCGCAGAGTCGTCCCTCGCTCTCCGCACCGATAACAAAACTCGGCCGCCCGGTCCCGCGGGCAGGCCGAGTACCGGTGTCTGGGGCTGCCGCAGTTCCAGCAGCCCCCGGATCTCCCTCGAGATCGCGACCGGCGCCTCTCCTCCGTCCGGCTCGGCGTCCCGGCAACTCCCGGGGTCGGCTCTCGGCTCGCGGGCTCCGGGCTGGCTTCCCGCGGGGTGGGCGAGCGGTCCCCCCGCACTTCCCGGGCGGCCTGCTGCCTCGCGTGGACCATCAGGTCCCCCCAGAGGTCCCACCACCCCTCCGTCTGAGTCTGCACGTAGTGCACGACTCGGGGTGGCGGGTGCGTCTGGGAGGACGCGTCCCGCATCGGCGGGACCTCCCTCACGACAGCCCCCCGGGTGGTGGTCGTCTCCCGCCGGTGTGTCTCCCACACGTCATTGGCGGCCGCCCAAAATCCGGGGTGCTCCCGCGCGATCAGGCGGAACACCTCGCGGTAGCGGCTCCGGAAGTTATCCCAGGCTCGCTTCGTGTCCGACATCTCTCCACGGTACGGTACGGTAATCTAAGCAGGAACCGGGGCCACGTAAGGCTTCAATTCTTTCACATGGATCTTTCCGATAGGCTTCCCATCAAGCCGCGCGAGCTCGCACACCGCCGCCGACCGTACTTTAATAATCTTAAAGGGGCGGTCAAATTTCGGCGCTAACTTGGCGGCCGTGTGCTGAGCCACGGACGAAAGCACATGTTGTCGTTTCCACACCAAATCGCCCTTCTGGTACACGACGGGACGCCTACGCAAATTATAACGCCTCGATTGGCGCTGATACGCAGACTCTAGATTTTCCGCAACCCACGAATGTATCGACTCCAACCGACGCATGCGGGCCGACCACTCAGCCGGATCCCGCGACGATATTTCGATATTTTTTTCCCCTCGACGCCTCGCGGAACTCAGCGGGTCTAATTCGCGTCCGAGGTTGAGGAACGCGGGAGAAGTCCCGATCGACGAGTGATGCGCGGAATTATACGCGAATCGAAAATCGGTAAGGTGCGCATCCCACTCGCGGTGGTCGTCTCCGAGGAAGGCCACGATCATCGTCTTTAAAATTCGGTTCACCCGCTCGACCGGATTGGCCTGCGGGTGATACGGCGGTACGGTACTGTGATGTATGCCGTTTTCTTTTGCGAACTGCTCGATATCCTTATTGACGAACTCGGTACCGTTGTCTGTCAACAAGACCTTCGGTGTTCCCCAGCGCGATATTACGAGATCGTCGAGAGCGGCCCGAATGAGCTTTCCGTTCGCGCTACGCAAGGGCCGGCACTCCATCCATTTGGAAAATAAATCCTGGATCACTAAGAGATAGGAGTAACCGGCCCGGCTGCGCGGCAACGGGCCCATTATGTCGGCCGCGACCACTGTCCAGGGCTTCTCGACGACCCTCCGCCCCATCAGGCCGGCAGGGGCCTGCTGGTCCACCTTGGTCCGCTGACAGACCTCGCATCGTCTAACGTAATTTGCGGTATCCCGGAACATATTGGGCCAATAATAGGCGGCGGCAAGACGATGATATGTCTTCTCGACGCCCAGATGGCCCGCCTGAGGACGATCGTGGGATTCCCCGAGCGCCTCGCCCCGCGATTCGCCCGGCAACACCAACTTCCAACGATCGAGATCCTCCACCAAATCCGAGATTATCTTTGCGGGCCGCAAGAAATATAATTTTTCCTCGATAATTCGCCAAGTCGGGAAACGCTTCGGGTCCTTCACGACCTCGCGATAACGCTTGCGGTACCATTTGTCGGAGGTCTCCGGTACCTCCGACTCGACATTCGCCTCGAGATCAATTCCTTCTCTCATTGCCGTGGCCGTCATGGGGGTCTCGGAATCCCCCTCATACATGCGCGATAGCGCGTCGGGAACATGATGCAGCGCTCCCTTGCGATGTATGATTTCGTAATCATACTCTAGTAACTCTAATGCCCATCGTGCAAGTCGACCCGTGGGATTGCTCAAGTTGTGTAGCCACCTTAAGCTGCTGTGATCGGTAATCACGGTAAAACGGTAGCCTTCCAAATAAGGTCTGAATTTCTTTATCGCCCAAACGACCGCCAAACACTCGAGCTCCGTGGTGCTGTATTTTCTTTCCGCGTCCGCGAGCACGCGGCTCGCGTACGCGATGACGCGCTCGACCCCGTCGATCGTCTGCGTCAATTCAGCTCCCACGCCTACGGAACTCGCGTCGGTCTGTACGATAAACGGTACCTCGAAATTTGGGCACGAAAGGATCGGAGCAGTAGTCAAATCAGATCTTATTTTCTCAAAAGCGGTAGTTTGCTCGGTAGTCCACTCCCATCGCCTGCCCTTCCTAAGCAGTCGCGTGAGCGGTTCGCTAATAGTCGCGAACTTCGGTAAAAAGCGACGATACCACGACGCCATCCCTAAAAAGCGGCGTAGTTGCTTTAAATTGGTCGGCGCCGGGTATTCGAGAAGCGGCTGGACTTTCTCGTCGTCTACCTTTAAACCGTCGCGGTGCACCAAAAACCCGAGATATCTCACTTCCGAGCGGCAAAATTCGCATTTTTCTAAATTCACGGTAAGTCCGGCCGAGCTAATCTTTTCGAGAACGCGCGATAGCCATTCGAGATGTTCTTCGAAGGTTTCGGTAACTACGACAATATCATCTAAATACGCGAATGCATGGGGCTCCATTTCCGGCCCGATTAATTTATCGAGAAGCCGTTGAAAAGTGGCCGGAGCCCCCGATAATCCGTACGGCATTCGCGTAAAGTGATAGTGGCCTTTGCCCGGTACGGAAAAAGCGGTAATCTCTCGACTTTCTGCTGCCAGCGGTATCTGAAAGTAGGCCTGACTCAGATCCATCGTCGAGATGTATCGCGCGGACCGCAACTTGTCGAGAATTCCCGTCATGTTTGGCAACGGATATGCGTCCTTCTTCGAGACGTTATTTACTTTCCGAAAGTCGATACAAAAGCGATATTTACCACTCGGTTTCTTCACCATAACTACCGGATTTGACCACTCACTACCGGAGGGCTCGATAATTCCGGCCTTGAGCATAACGTCTACTTCCCCACGGATCGCCTCTTGCACTTTAGGCGACACTAAATAACATCGCTGCCGAATCGGTAAATGCGTCCTAACGTCGATTCGATGTTCGGTCAGCGACGTGACGCCGGGATTTTCGGCAGCGATCGGTACGGTAGAATCGATAAACTGGGTGAGTTTAATTTCCTGCTCGCGCG